ACGTACTCAAGATTGTAAATGTTGTGGATTTGCTCTCCAACACACCGGTGTGCTGTACGAGTAACGAATTGGCATATTCTGTTTACGTGACAACCCTTACTAATTGGCTGCGTCGGGTGGTGGTGGGTTTAACGACACATTTATATATATTTTTTATCTAACCCAAAAAAAGCTATATTATGGATGATGTGCTGAATTCGCCAGACAAATGTTTCCAGTCGCAATGACCTAAACTTGGATTCCAGTGCTGCCAGTTGTCACTGATAGATGTGCGAGTCATTGTTGCTTAGAAACCACACCACTAGCGCAACTGTAACCAATGGCAAGAAGTTGGGTTTGGTAATTTAATAACATCCGATTATCACGATTGGATACCTACGGTGCGAAAGAAGTTCAACATACAAGTAATGTTACATTCAAAACGTTGTCGATTGATTAAATGGCTATAAAGGATAACACAAACAAGGTCATAAAACGTTATCCACGTGTGGCCATTCATTAGCATTTAGCAACAAAAGCACTGGATTGTGCTTGTGATAAATGCTTTCATTACTTTTGCCCCAATCCTTTTTGTTGAAAAGGGTTGCGTCAGTGAGTTCAGTGCCACAAAACACACATAACAGCTTCAATCGCCATGGCCACAGGGCACGCCAGAGAGAGAGGTCACCACGCACACACCCGCAATGGTTTTCAGGAAAATGAGCTTCTAGACACACCACGTGAGATTGTATTTACCCAATTTGCTGAGTACACGCCTAAAACGTCAAGGGGCCAGCAACAAACAGCAATATCAAAGTTGTTGAATGAGTTGACATGTTTTTTATTGAGTGAGATTACAAGAACTTTGGAAAATAGACACCAGGAGGGGATTCCTAAGTGGAGCAATTTGAGGGAAGCATAAATTTAAGTGTTGTAACCTACGAAATTGTGAGTGTTTTGTGACTTGCAGTATGCTGGTTGAACACAATATGGCTGGGACTAAATGATTACCGTAGTGTGGTAGAGAGTCCTCAAAATTGGTGTAGGAATCAATGAGTGAAGTTCACGGGAAGAGTAATCATCGTAGTAGTTGTAGCAAATTGATAAGCATGTACAGTATGTTTGTTGAACTTCTTTCGCACTGTGCTAATCGGAGGTGCAGGTTGCAGACTTACTGCCGCTTTTTGAACACTATGTCATGTGACACATTCCTGTATTATAGTACCATATTTTACATAGGTTTTACAAAATGCATTTTAAACAAGGGAAGTTAATGAACTAATAACAAAAAAGACGGAGGACATGGTGGCAAATTTCAGTGGACAATGCAGGAGGATGATTGCATATTGGAAGTGACCAGTTAAGTACCTGGGTGCAACGATGTGTACTGATGGATCACTAGAAGGAGAGATGACTGGTGTGATTGGTGTGCGATAAGAGGGTCCCCCAGTTTGTTTGAAGAGAAAAGTGTACAAGACGTTGGTGAGGCCAGTGCTGTTGTATGGGGCCAAGTGCTGGGGCACAAAAAGGAGGGAGGACCAAGCTATTGCAGTCACAGAGATGAGGATGTTGCGGTGGATGTTGGGTTTAACAAAGAAGGACAGGGTGAGAAATGAAGTGAGAGGAAGACTCAAGGTGGTAGAAATCACAGAGAGGATGAGAGAGAAAAGGCTGTGGGTGTGGTTCGGTCATGTGGAGAGACAACAGGAAAATCCCTTGGGTCAGAAGGTGCAAGTTATGCAAGTGCAAGGAAATAGATCAAGAGGAAGGCAGAGGTGGGGGGGGCGATGTGGTGCGATCGGACATAGTAGCCCGAGCAGTGGAAAGAGATGGCGCAGGACAGGGCAGCATGGAAAAGGTTGGCAAAGGCAGCGGAACACCCCACATGAGTGGGACAAACACATCGAAGAAGAATACACAAATGAAAGTCAAAGAAAATAAAAACAGCTAATTAACATTCTGAATTCTAATTTTCGTTGTCCTCCACAAAATAAATGTACATTGTAATTTGCATCCCATTAACAATTCAAGATAACATGCAGTATTTACCTTCTAATAACTAATAGAAGGGTCAATAATATAATCATAGCCGTGGTCAAATCACTGCCCGGTAAAGGCCTCCTAATCCACCGGCACCTTTCACGATCTTGAAATGCATTCAATGACAGTAGCGGCACATTAACTGATTTTATCGCTCCGTCTCCTCGGTTGTACAACTTTTGGACGCGTTACGTTCATTGGCTGCCACTCCATCGCTAATCTCGACCATAGTTCATCGTCTCTTCCAGCCATGCGTTCTGCCAAATCAAGATTCCTTTTTTCTTAACCGTTTGCATGGTCTATCATTAACCTGCGTAGCCATGTGTTCCTCTGCCAATGTACTTCCGAACATCCAGTTACATTTTGATAAACGATTTAGCTAGAGAATGTGTCTGTGCAGACCTTGACGAAGCATATGACTGCGTGGTGTGTGCACAGGGCATCATCGCTCACCAGCTCATTGCGCAGGTGTGTCAGAGCCTTGCCGATGTCCATTCTGCCAACTCGCCTCTGGGAAAAGGTGGCCGGAGAGCACGGGGGGCAGCCCCCGTACTGCCCGCTCCGATCCTGCATAATTTCTGCCGACAGAGCCTCCATTTATCAATTTGTAATTATTTATTTAACGTGTTTCAGCAAAGCGGACTGCTTGGTTGTTGTTGTTTTGTCCGTACTGCGGCTTTGCAGCCTGTGTCGCGTATGATCTTCTGTGGAGCGCGTTTGAGCAGAGCATTTATAGGCGAGGGTGTAAGCTGGGGTAGCGTGGGGTAGGGCTGGGAAGAGGGAGGGCAGTCAAATGCGTGGTCTCGCCGTGATGTGATGGGAAATCACAGCGCTGTGAAGAAGCCTGCCCAAGCACCCTTTGCACTTTGTCGTGTGCACGCGGACATCTCCAAGACACAAACACTGTCAACGTCTTAGCAACGCTGAAACTGTTTCCAAGGGGTGTCGCTTTGGCTTCAAAAGAAAAGGCTGTTAGGAAAAAAAGTACGTGCCTTGGCACAAAAGCTGCAGCAGAAAGGCAGGATTATTATTTTGTTTCCCTTCTACGTGACTTTACCGAAAGAACCAAGAACAGGATTAAAGATGTTGCGTCAATCGGTTTTACTTTTATCTCGATGTTCAGCTTTAAGTCACATAGCAAGCTACAATCAAATGGTGAGGCTCAATAGTTATCCTTTGATACGTTAACACACAACTGGATTCAATTACGTTCAGGTTGAAAATGCATTGAATTTGCGAATCAATGCTTGGTCTGGGGGATGGGTTCTGTCAAAGCAGTTCGCACAACACCGAAGATATAGATATGTATTTGGCACCTAAGGTACACATTGTGTAAACGTAGTATGCATAACATCAACTCCTCTTTCCTTAAAAGGACTACAGTATTAGAAATGCACATACTGTACTTAATTCCTTTCGTTCATCAATGTGCATCCAGTAGGACACCCTAATTAAAATGGGCTGAGTACACTGTCAATGCGTAATATACGTAAAACAGTAACATACTGTATCTAAAAATTCAAACATCAACACGCCACAAATTGTGCACACCACTAGTTCATATATAATGTAGTTTAGCTGTAACGGTTGCACATTGTGCAATTGTGTTTTAATTAAAGATGTATAATATATATGTTGAGACCGGTGGCACGTTTTAGTGTCTCGTAGGTTGCTCCATGTTAAAGCAGCTCTGTCTGAATGAGTACATACAAGTTGGGTTTTTATTTCAACAAATATATACAAATGCTCTGCTGATATTTTATGACACTACTTTTAAGAAATCTCATCTACATTGCGGAATGAAGATTGTTGATGCGAATAATTGGTGTAACATTATAAATCCATATAAACTTTAAGTTGACAGAAAAAGCACACGTTATGCAAATATTGGACGTGTTGTTGATCCTGTTGTGGTTGGGCTACTACAGAACTATCCTGTTACCTAGACACCAAACAGTCCTGGCCAAACATACTGGGCTTCTGTGACACTTTTTTTTCCAGCCTAATACCAAAAATACCTCCTTTTCAGGAAAGAAAGTAAACTATACCACATAAAACCATAGGTTAATATATTATTGTATTTATACGAGAGTTGAATGAAGGTATTGTAATAATAATGTACTTATTTGTCCAGGAAAGACATTTGATAGTAGAATTCGTAATCATGAGGGTCATGCATCGGTTTTTTTTAGGATGTTTTCAGCCAGTTCACGAATGTTTATACATTCACGAATGTTTATACATTCGTGAAATCTAGATTGACAACGAATTTATTTAGAACTGCTTTTTGTGTTGTCCTTTCCCGCACATCCAATTAGCATGGTTGGCTATGTACGGTGCGAAAGAAGTTAAACATACATACTATACACAGGAAACAGCGCACTCATCACATACATTCCTACGCTCACACACAAATCACACTAGTATTAATTTAGTGAGTAAATCTTGTAAACCATTCCACAATTATGGTATTGTAAGGATACACATTCCAGTAGTGTCACATTGATTTCTCGTACTGTACTGTTTTGTCTGGGATGTTGGTCGTGAAACTCCTCAGCACTTACATTGCAGCTATTTTTTAACAAAGATTCCTTCATTGCATGGCCGATCTCAGGAACGTTCCTTGTTACCTACATCTATGGGCGCCTACTTCTATGTGCTGAGGACCATTGCCCGAAAAGCTGTCTATTATATACATTTATTTTTTAGACATAATTGGCGACCGTGTTTAGTTTGCTTGAAATGTTTGATTAAACAGCCCACAGAATGACAATGAGTTGGTTACTTCCTGATCAAGTAATTCCCAATGAGGATTTGAACTCCAGGTTTTATTTCATTGTTGATGTACAGCGACAAAGACCAGCTGGAGGCGAACGCTTCATTTTTTTTACTTTGTTACGAACGGAATCCCACCCTGTGGCGACACAACCGTGTGACAAGAGTCATTGTCGCAAACTGTAGGCTGGTATTTCACGACACGGAAATGACGACACGGAACTTACGACACCTTACTAGCGGCTTTACGGCAACACGCTCTCACCACGGAAGATGGCGGCGAGGAAGGAGGTAGCGGTGGTGGCGGCGGCGGCGGCGCTCGGCTCTCCCGTGAAGTTGGTGCAGATCGACGGCCTGGTGAGGCGAGCGGCCTCCCCGCTCTCCCCTCTATCTCCCCGTGTACTCTTGTCCACTCCCGTTCTCTATGGGGGTGTATGTATGATTAAACTTCTTTCTCCCCGTCCGTAGCCACCCGCGCTCATCGGGGGTTCGGGGGAAGGACAACAAACTTAAACACGAAAAACAGTTTTTAAGAAATGAGTTTTCAATCTATATGTAAAAGTGCGTAGCTCCAGTGGCTTCCAAATATCAGAAGGAAGAGCGTTCCTGACGGTCTCAAAAGTGTATCCGAAGTCGCGCGATTCAAGTGACCGTCTTTGTTCGATGGCTATCCAAAAGCCACTGCGAGGATGACCGGAGTTCGCGTGATGGTTTATGTACCTTGCAAGGTATTGTTAATTTGTGCAAGCACTTTGTGGGTAATGAGGGCGACCTTATAATTTATTCGTTCCGCAACCGGAAACCAATGCAGCTCGGCGAGCGCTGGACGGACATGGTCAAATCTTCCAGTACCCGCCACGACACGTGACAAAGAATTGTGTACACATTCTTGGTTCTTTCGGTAAAGTCACGTAGAAGGGAAACGTGGCTTTACCGAAATAACCAAGAATAAGAATCCCTGCAGTCACGAAAGCTTTAAATCAAAATTCTGTACACGGTGCAGTTCGGTGATTTTTTTTTGGCAGACGTTCCCCAATGATGGTGCGGAGGCTGTTTAGAGGAGTAAAAAACTGAATCCTGGAGTCAGAGACCGCCACAGCCGATCCTCCCACGTTTTTCTTCGCCCGAGCCCGGCGACTGCGTGCGTTGTGGAGCGTTGTGGAAACTCGCTGATTGTGGTGAATGAGCCGTCGCCCTCAGCGAGGTCAATCCCATTCATCGTATTCAGCCATGGTCGCTCCTAACCAGATTAATGCTTCCCCAAACGGCCGCTGCCTCCACTTCAATTTTTCTGAAGAGATGAATGTACGCACGCCATGTGATACATTTCCATGAGCCAATTGACATGTCGCTTCCCGGTCGTTTTGTGTACGTATCCCACGTTCTACTTAAACACAAACATCGCTGTGAACAATTGTGGTCGATGGACCAGACTGTTAACGGGACGGCAGCTTAAAACGAATTCGTCCGAGAGAAAGCCCACCAAGAAAAACATATGTAGTGATGAAAACGATACGGATTGTCTTTGCAAGTTTAAAGATGATTGTGTTTCACCAGGTCAGAACTCGAGACCAGGATATCATCTAATTTGCGAGTGACGAGACTGCGATGACATTTTGTCCTTGGCTTTATTCGAATACATTTTGGAAAATCTATGGGACACAAAACATTTGTCATTCCACGTAACGTATCTTCATTGTAATCAGAATATGTATAGTTTTTAATGTACTTAAGTACTTAATTTTTTAATAAGTGTTTAATCGAAAGAACCTACATGATAAATTCTGTTTAACACGTAGGCTTTCGCGACCAATATTATTCATAATAAAGGTTTTTGGGTTAGATCGCGTTTATTTATAAATGTGTCGTAACCCTCCACCACCCGACACGGCCAATCAGCAAAAAAAGGTGTCACGTTGACAAAAAGACAAATAGTTCACTACTTTAGCCCACCGGTGTGTTGAAGAGTGAATCCACATTTACAGTTTGAGTACGACGTTTCGCTGGTAAATACATCCAGCATCATCGGGCAATTCACCAGAATGGTAAAGCCCTCGCTTGCTCCCGGTTTTATATAGAGCAGCAGGGTGACGTCATCACTTAACTCATCAGGTGCAGTGATTAGAGGCGGAGGGGGGGTATTGTAATTATATAATCGATTAGTAATCAGTCATTGGTTATGATTAGTAATGAGTTGTAGATTTGAATTCAAACACGCTGTTTTCACTCTGCTTATTGGAAACCCGATGGCTTTTTTGCAGACTCTGTGATGCAGATTTTTTTTTAAGCTGAACACTTTATACAATTATATTGTAATTTTGAATTGTATTACCTGGATTTGCATTTTTACACTGACAGTGTAAGTACGTACTGTAAGATGCCTTGGAGTGGTAATTTGGCCAAAGGCAGGGAATCCGATGTATTATTTGTAAGGACATATTGCAATAAATCATGTTTTTAATTTTGATAGTGTGGAACTTATTTTCAAACATCTGAAAAATGTCATTTGATTTCGTTGAAGTTGTAGAATAAGTGGTTGTGTGCTTGGCCCTCAGGTGGTGCTGAAGATCATTAAGCACTGCCAGGAGGAGGGCACGGTACAGGACGTGGCGCAGGGGGTGTTGCTCGGCCTGGTGGTGGATGACCGCCTGGAGATCACCAACTGCTTCCCGTTCCCGCAGCACACAGAGGATGAGTCCGATTTTGATGAGGGTAAAACGTGTGATTACAAAAAAAACATGATTGTTAATAAAAAATGTAGAACAAACTCAAGCATGACGAGTTGCATGATTGGAATCACATTGAGGGACAGTAAGAGGAACATATCAATGTATGTATTACATCAACCAAACTTATGAATATGTGGTCTCATGAAGGACATGTCTAACAGAAAAAAGCCCATACATTTTTGGATGAAGGGAAGGGAATGGGGCCTTTGAACATGTCAAGACTGGCTACCTTAAACAACTGCAAATATTGACTTGCCATACTGACAAAAGTCATATCGGTTTTGTTGAAACATTGCCTTATAATATATAGAAGGTTATAGGGTCCATTCCACATCAATTCAACCAACATTAAAATTTTGCTTATATTTTGGGGTAGCAGAATATCCAGACCATGTATGAAACCTGGCCAATTTTTAGGACCTAAAATGGTGTTGAGAATTTTAATAGCCCATGCATAATTATTGCGTGTTGTAGTCTGCAGTTCATTACCCTATCGAAATTGTTGTGAGTGTTGATGCATTTTGTACACCTTGATTCTCTGCTTGCTTGTAGCAGGAACATAACATGAATAACGGGATGAGTAATAACCAGTGTCTTTCCTTGGTCCTTGCAGTTCAGTATCAGATGGAGATGATGCGCAGTCTCCGGCATGTCAACATTGACCATCTGCACGTCGGTTGGTACCAATCGACTTTCTATGGTTCCTTTATCAGCCGTGCACTGCTCGACTCACAATTCAGCTACCAGCATGCCATCGAGGAGTCGGTTGTGCTCATATTTGGTAAGGAGTTCTTCAATTATGTTTAAATGAAATATTTAACCTGGATTGTTATTTGAGATGGAACATCTTGTATTCAATGGTTTCTAGGGTGTCAAATGGCTTATATACATAGAAAATACTAAATGGCATGCAGACATTTTCAAATATTCAATAAATAATCAACTATACTCTTTGGTTCTTTCGATAAAGTCATGTCGGTAGAAAAATAAAAAACAATATATCACGACGTTTCGATCGCAACACAAGCGGCCGTCCTCAGGCGGAAAAAATAATCTAGCAGTGGAACTGCTGAACCAGGAAGAACACAGCGAAAGAGCTGTTGCAACAAGAGGTTATATATATGAGGCTGTTATCTCCGACACTGAGTTGCATTGCCCTGTTGGGTGCCTCTGCATTAATGGGCTGGGGTCTCACTAACATGGCCACCTCTGCTCCCTTAGCCTTGATGTATCGATGGTTCTGGCTGTGTGTTGGGCTGTGTGTCTCACTGGCGCGACCACCGTTGCGGTGGTTCTTTTGCATTGACGTGCTTGCCTCTCACAGCGCAGTTGGCAGCGCCGCAGCTTGTGTTACACATACACATGACATTAACTTGCTAATCCCCCTAATCTCTCTGCCTAATCTCTTATATGTGGGGACGATACTCTTATGCAGCGACAGAAGCTCATTTCATGCTAATCTCTCCCTAATCTCTCCATAATCTCCCCTATTAACACAACTGACGTGCTTGTGTGCGGGGATCGAATTCCTTTCCAGCTCAGAACCCCGCCTGCTTGCCCTTCACCACATATATAACCTAATGTTGTAACAGCTCTCTTGCTGTGTTCTTCCTGGTTCAGCAGTTGCACTGCTGGATTATTTTTTCCGCCTGAGGACGACCGCTTGTGTTGCGATCGAAATTTCGTGATGTAGATTTTTTTCTACCTACGTGACTTTACCGAAAGAACCAAAGAGTATGGATTCCTGCAGTCATGAAAGCTTCAAATCAAAATAATAAACTATTGCCCACCGCCAGTTCTCTTGTTGTATAGAATAAACCCTAGTTGATAACTTGATTGTAGAGAGAGGAAATACAATTATCCCTGCTCTTTGGGTCTTTCGGTAAAGTCACGTAGATAGTTTGAGAGAAAATAACAAAAAACTACGACGTTTCGATCACATGAAAGGTTGGAAACATCACACACAATTTCAACCGAGAAGATGGGTACACACTGAGCAATCATTGGAAGGACGTTATTAACCAGTTTAAGTCATAACTGTCTGTGATGTTTACACCCTACCTTCCGATGTTAGTTGCTATTTTCGGCTCTGATTTTACATTAACAGGTTAAATTTCTCACACTAACACAGCCACCTCGCGTGCCGACGCGGCAGAGACTCTGCGATCTTACATTAACATGCTCATTTCTCACATTAACACAGCCACCTCCGCGCTTTCTGTCATGGACGTCGTCCTCCGATCTTACATTAACATGCTAATTTCTCACATTAATATCACTAGCCCCGCCCACTTTGTTTATAACCGTTCGGCTACACCCAATCTAAACCTTTAAAACAGTCTGCCTCAGCAGCTTTACTTTTTTTTTTCCTCCTGATGACGATCGCTTGTGTTGTGATGGAAACGTCGTAGTTTTTTGTTATTTTCTTTCAACCTATCTACGTGACTTTACCGAAAGACCCAAAAGAATATGAATTCCTGCAGTCACAAAAGCTTTAAGTCAAGATTTGATCCCTGCTCATTGGCTTTTTTTCATTTTAAATCTGCTACTAAGTTCTAAAATGTATCTTGCCTTGCCCTAGTGTAGGGGTTGGCAACTTGCGGCTCAGGAGCCACATGTGGCTCTTTAAGGACTGCTGCTTCGTGACGTTATACACATGCATAGCAGCTCTTGGTATATTGAAAACATATGGTAAAACATAAATAGCAAAAAGTGCATCTCTTTATTAAATAGAGCTCTCAACATTGATAAGAAAAAGCACATAATAGGCACTATTTTTGTCTGACAGATCCTGTGAAGACAGCTCTGGGTAGTCTGTCTCTCAAAGCGTATCGCTTGACACCCAAGCTCATGGAACTGTACAAGGAAAAGGAATTCAGCTCGGAAGGGTATTCTGGGCTTTAACAGCCATTTCCTTCATATATTTTCATGTTGATGTGGAGTTTAGATATTGTCACTGGATTGAAAGCAAATGAAATAGTTTTTAATTGTGATTAAATAGTTGAAGGATGTAATGCTTTCTACTTTATGGCAAAAACCTCTGTTGTGTAAACATTTTGCGATCAAGTTCCATGTTGAACAAGCTGATTTGTAGAATGTTTCATCCACAGAATAAAAAAAGCTGGTGTGACGTATGAGCAGATGTTTGAGGAAGTTCCCATCATCATCAAGAACTCGTACCTCACTAACGTGCTGGAGGGGGAGCTGGAGGGAAAGTCCAAAGTGGCCGATAAACAGGAGCTCCTCAGCTTGGCGAGCAGGTACCCTGAGCACTTTTCACTGCTCACACACTGGTAGTGGCCCAAGTTAGGGGTATGCAAATGAAAAGGTGCATTGACAGTCGTTAAACAACAAGCCGATGTGGTTTCTCAGTGTTAGAGCGAGCGGGTCGTAATTGTAAGGTTGTGAGTTTACATTTTGGTTGAGTTGACTTAGCAAATCACTCCTCTGAGATTGATAGAATAAGTACCACTGAGGATTGGTTACTTAGGTTTTAGACTAGTCTTCACGAGTTTGGCAATGAAAAGGAAGACCTAAGACCAGATTATGGAACACTTGTCAGGACCGATCTTGAAGTTCGTGGGTCTACTGTGCAGCAGCTGTGGGATTTGGTGGAAAGGTAAGAAAGCGTTGTGGTGGCTTCGATGGCTTTGGTGACAATGACAACTTGATCGTTGATGTTCATACAGCAATCACCTAGAAAAGAACCTGCAGTTGCTAATGGACCGCATAGACGACATGGCCTCTGACATCGTCAAGTACAACACGCACTTGCGCACTCTGGGAAAGCTACAACAGCAGAAGACGCAGGTGCCCGTCAAGCCGCACACAACCATAGCCCATGACATTAAAATATAGTGTAAATACAGATTTTGATTCTGACATTTCATAATGGATTGAGCATTCTGCCAACAAGTTAACATATTTGTGTGCTATTGTGTGGGTGTGCATTTGGCAATGTTGGTAATAAAGTATCTACAGAAGCGCCAGCAAGAAAACGTTCAACGTGAGGCGCGTGGTGACCAGCCATTGGCAGAGGAGGACATCAGCAAGCTCTTCAAGCCGCCAGCACCTCCTTCCCGTCTTGATACCCTGCTTATCGCTGGTTAGTCACTTTGCATTAGAATTGTTAAATTAACTTATGGGGTGACCTGAACATCAGGAAATTTACTCAATTGGTTTTCGGGTACAGTTTTTATCATCTGAAATCCAATTGAACCAGTTACAGTTCAATCAGGTCAGAACGATTTGGGAAGGTTTGGTTCTGGTTAACCATTTGGCAAAAAAACATTCGAAATCAGTTCACATTTGCATATTTGCTAAACTCGAAAAACAAAGATCAAACATTTTGCAGTTTCAAGATTTACTTTAATCCTTGCTCTTTTCTATGTAATGCTACATTTGACTTTGGGCACCACGGTTGCTTTGTTAACTCCCTCGCCTGAGTTCGATCCCGACCCTGACGCCTGTATATTTGGAGGTTGCATGTTCTCCCCATGGTCATGTGGATTTTTAATCTGGTCCATTGGTTTTCCTCTCCACATTTAGAAACATGTGTTTAGAGTATTTGGCTGCTAGAAATTTGCACATCATTTATCGCCAGGTTGCTTTTGAAAAAGTGCTCTATATAGCTCAGGTGGGTCTTAACTGGTAAAATAAACTAGTTTTAGTTTTAACTTTACTGTGAAATTTGTGGGAAAATATTTGATTCCTATTCGGCAAAATTAGGAAAATTGTATTTATATTGGCTCATACTTTGTCCATCTGTGTGTCTCACTCTGTATTTGTCTATCTGTTTTACTGTCTTTGTGTCTCTGTGCCTACCTGTCTCTGCGTGGCCATCTGACTTTTTTTTTTAGACTTTTGCCAAAATCTGTGCTTGTGTCAGAGACACAAACGGACCACAACAAATGTTCTCTCGAGCTTAATATTAGTAAACTTGGTTGAAAAATCGAAGGCTATTTCAACTTAAAAAGATCCCAGCTGCAAAGTACTAAATTGAGATGGTGGGAGAAATTAAACGAGCTAAAACCGTTAACCAAACCTTTTTTATTTTTGTGAAATTACCGTTCAACCCCAGTTTCTCAGTTCGCCACTGCTGAGCATGGCCTAAAGGATGTTTTTTTTACAATTTAATTCTGCTTGTAATAATGGCAACTGCCACAAATTAATGTTATATAGGAGGCCCCAACTTCTCGAATTAAACCACCTTATAGAATGCCTGAGATTGCCTGTTATTCCAATAGGTAATTTGTCTGTTTCTTGTAGGTACTCTTGTTTTTCTCAAGCACAACACTTGAATTTGTCATATTGAATATGTCTAAATGAATTATTTACACATGTTGAAACCCCACATAATGTACTTTATTCACACTGTTATGTGTTTAGAATATATTCATTTGGTCTTTCGGTAAAGCCACGTAGATAGAAAAAATAATAAAATCTAAATCACGACATTTCGATCGCAACACAAGCAATCGTCTTCAGGTGAAAAATAGAGGGGGAAATTGCTGCGGCAGGCTGTTTATAAAGGTTTAGAGATGGGCAGGGCAGCTAATGCCAATGTAGGAGCGTGTAGGAGAGAGAAATTTGAGGATCGAGTAGGAGAGAGAAATTTGCTTGTAAATGTCAGCTCGGAAAGGGCCCGGACAACGTAGTGGCAAGCCGCCATTTACTAACACACCTAAAGGTTGGCTGTGTTAGTGAATGTAACTCAAGAGAGTCGAAAATAACTGCTAACATGTAGTTAAGATAGGAACATCACAGCCAGTTATGACCTAAACTGGTTAATAACGTCCTTCCAGTGATTGCTCAGTTTGTACCCATCTTCTCGGTTGAAATTGTGTCTGTGTGCTCACCGCGTTAAAATAATGATCAGTCACGGCTGAGGTATTGGTCTTACCGTGTTTCAGATCTGCCTTATGTTCACTAACCCGGTCCGAGACATGTCGCTTAGTTTCCCCAATGTAACTGCTGCCACAGACACAGCTTAGTTTGTAGACACTGGGGTATTGCATGTCAGGGATCACATCCTCAACAGATGGGATCAAATCACAAATGTTATGTACTGTGTTGAATCGTACCTGGATCTTGTGTTTGCTCATGATTTTGGAAATATTTTGGTGACCCCTGCTATGTATGGCAAGGTGATGGTTTTGATTGGGTCCCCAGATGGTTCTTTCCCAATGGTTGGGGTGATAGCTTTACGGATTGTGTTGTCTGAATATCCATTCTTCTTGAGGGCTTGGTGTACGTGCTCCAGTTCACTGGCTAGGTGGTGATGGTCGGAAATACGAGCTCTATGGTATGCTTGTGTTGCCATCGAAACATTGTGATTTTGATTTTTTTTCTATCTACGTGGCTTTACCGAAAGACCCAAAGAATATGAATTCCTGCTGTCACGAAAGCTTTAAGTCAATGTGTATAATATATTTGATAAGATATTTATAAACCAGTGGTATTTTTACTTATGTTTTGTTCCATGTGGTTACTTGGCCATAACTTTTAATGCCACATTGTGATCTGACTTTCAGGACAAATCAACACCTACTGCCAACAAATCAATGAGTTTACATCGCAGAACCTGGGAAAGCTGTTCATGGCAGAAGCTCTCAACAGCAACAACTGAGCTTCCAGTATCTCAAGGGGGGAAAGGCCAGTCTTCACTCACTCTATTACCAAACAGGATACATTGCTTACATGAGTTGTATCTAAATTGCCCAAAACATAGCTAACATACTTGGTGTACACTTGAGTGTTATTATTTGCAACATGTTTATTTGAAGTAACTATCTGCGATAACATGGACAGGTGCATGTGACTACCATCTCCATTGCATTGTTAAAATTGAAACAAGGAATACACATTTTTGAAGACTTTCATTCTGAGTTTTTTAGCAGTTTGATGCGTGTCGGTGATTACAAGTCCATGGGCTGCAGACGTCTCGAACAGTCTCCTACCATTATATTGAGCTGATGTTGCCCATGCCTTCCAATCACTCCAGTCCAATTGCCCATGTCATGACCCACTCAGGCACCAAACAAGATAACTATCCCGAGGGGCCACTTTAGTTAGGGGTGTGTGTGTGTCTAGAGGTGTGTGTGGGTAGCAAAAAACAACTCCCTATCTCGGTGTGCCGGATGGTAACGCTGGTGGATACAAGCGTTGCCATGGAGGGAACGGCCAATTCCATTTGGCTTTTCCCCTCGTGGTGCTTGTCGCCACCACTGCAGCCAATGGGGTCTCTGGCTGGTAACCCCTCCACCTTCAATACAAGTGTAGTGGTTCAACTCGGAGGCAGTAATTCTTGGAGGCACTTTTATTATACTCACAATCTCCCTTCACACATCCTACAGTCGCCTAGGCTACACACACCCTAGCCTATAGACAACACTAGCCGTCTAACACCGATGGCGCTGACTGATACAGCCAACAACTGTATAACAGCGCAATATTAAGTGACGACAACTGCGGCGACTAAGAGAAGAATGATGACGACGACGATGGACGGGGATCCCACTTACGATCAATAGCCCTGAGGTCCGCTACTGTCAGCGTGGCGTGGCTCTACCCCCGGCCACGCCTCCTTTCTAGAACCTACCAATGGGTTTTTGGTGTGCCCCTTCTGTGACCTTTTCCCGAGATCACCCTCTGGTGTATAACCTGGCCTGCTGATATCAGGGCTGCTGTAAGCCGCAGATCACCTTCCCCACCAGCAGCCAGCGCTATGCTGCTACATTACTTATTCTATGCCACTACACAAAGTACCACAAAAACACGTGTTAAAAATCTAAGCTTGTGCCGGAGGCCCTGGTGGGACAGGCGTCTATGATGTCTTCTGGCCAAACCCCATTTGGCGGAGCGAGGAGGCTGAATCCTTACCCTCAGGGTTCTTCCAGAAACAACAAAAAGCCATTACGAGTGGCTATGTGGAATAGTCGAATGTTCACTGTGGAGGAGAGGCTGCCGCCACCCTGTCGGAAGCTGGACCGGTACCGCCTGAATCTCGTATTCAGGAGGTCTGGTGGACTGGCTCTGGCTCCTGCCACCGTAAGGGGTGGACTGTCATCAACTCAGGGCAGGAGACTACCAAACAACAGGGAGTGGCTCTTCTGAACAAAAGAATGAAGGAGATGTGGGACCGTAGCGGTAATGTGTTGGAAGCTGTAAGCCCCAGGCAACTGTGGCCTCACCTTCCCATTAACCAGGGATGAGGAGTGGTGGTCGTGGTTACTTATGTCCCCACCGAAGATGGACATCAGTAGAGGGATGCAGGCAAGGCCGATGGGTCTGATGCCTTTTATGACCTGTCACAGGTGCTAGCTAAAGTGGCCCCTTGTGATAGTCATCCTTACTCTTTGGTTCTTTCGGTAAGTCACGTAGGTATAAAATAAAATAAATCACGATGTTTCGGGCGCAACACAAGTGTCCGTCATCAGGTGGGAAAGCATGATCTGCTGCTGAGGCAAACTTTTAAAAGGTTTGAAATGTGTGTAGCCCAAGGGTCATAAAGAAGTGGGCGGGGCTAGTGATGTTAATGTGAGAAATTAGTATATAAATGCAAGATTGGAGAGCGGCCTCCTCGACGAGGGCACGGAAGTGGCTATGTAATGTGAGAGATTAGCATGTTAATGTAAAATCGAAGAGTGGTGCAATCCAAAGGCATGGGAGTGAAACCCAAAGGGTGCAATCCTAAGGGCATGTGAGCATGAGAGTGCAATTCAAAGGCATGAGAGTGCAATCCAAAGGACATGTGAGCATGAGAGTGCAATGCAAAGGACATGCGAGCATGAGAGATCTAAGAGAGGCATAGAGACAGTCTGAAATAACAGCTGACAGGCAGGTAGGATGGAAACATCACAGTCTGTTAAGACTTTACCTGGTTAATAACGTCCTTCCAATGTTTGCTCAATTTGTACCCATCCTCTCGGTTGAAATGTCTGTTTATACAGGTATATCTGGATGGCTTCATGAACAAATCTCTGAAGGTAGCCGGTAGGTTTGCAGAATACCTCCGTTTTAGAAAAATCTATTTTGTGCGAGCCCACACCGTTACAACATTGATCAGCAATGACAGAGGTATACTCTGGTTCTTTCGGTAAAGTCACGTAGGTATAAAAAATAAATCGTGACGTTTCGATTGCAACACAAGCAATCATCAGGTGGGAAAACCACAGTAAGAGTTATTTTTTGCTGAAGTGGGAGAGATGCCGTGGTAAGAGGTTATATGGGTAAGAGAGGGGGGAGGGGGCAAGGGAGGGGCGTAGTGGGAGGGGAGCGTTGCGTGGATGCTAGGAGAGGGACATGAAGCTGGACGTCGGGAAGTGGGCGGGGCTGGAAGTGGGAGGCTGAGTTAGCTGGGGATGCGCGGCGGGTGGATGCAGCAACAATGCCAATGAAGCAATAAAACCAATGCAGCAACAATGCCAAACGCTGGGGATGCAATTAACTCGGCAAAATAGACTAGTGCGACAGAGGTATTGGTCCTACCGTGTTTCAGATCGTCCTTGTGTTCACGAACGCGGTCTGAGATGTCGTTTCGTTTCCCCAATGTAACTCCTGCCGCAACCACAACTCAGTTTGTAGACACCAGGGTATTGCATGTCAGGAATCACATCCTTTACAGATGGGATTAAATCACGGATTTTGTGTACTGTGTTGAAACGAACCTGGATCTTGTGTTTGTTTAAGATTTTGGAAATCTTTTTGGTAACCACTGCTATGTACGGTAAAGTGCTGGTTTTGGTTGGAACCTCAGAAGGTTGTCTCCGCATGGTTGGGGAGACAGCTTTGCGGATTGTACGGTCCGAGTATCCGTCCATTCTGAGGGCTTGGTGTACGTGCTCTAACTCACTGGCTAGGTGGTGCTAGTCAGATGCAACGGGCCCTGTGGTGTCGTGTTTTGATGAGGGAATTCTTTTGGGCTGGATGGTGGTGGGAGTCAGGCTTTAGATAGGCATTCGTGTGGGTGGCTTTCCTGTAGACCGAATGTCCCAACGAGCCATCAGGTCTCTTCTCGATCAAAACATCCAGGAACGGTAGCTTTGATTGCACTCATGCTCACATGCCCTTTGCGTTGCACTCTCATGCCTTTGGATTGCACCACTCTTAGATTTTACATTGACATGCTAATCTCTCACATTAACATAGCCACGCCACTTCCATGCCCTCGTCGAGGAGGCCGCTCGCCGATCTTACATTTACATGCTAATTTCTCACATTAACATCACTAGCCCCGCCAACTTCTTTATGACACTTGGGCTACACCCATTTCAGCCTTTTAAAATGGTCTGCCTCAGCAGCAGATCATGCTTTCCCACCTGATGATGGACGTATGTGTTGCGCCCGAAACGTCGTGTTGTATTTTATTTTATACCTACGTGACTTTACCGAAAGAACCAAAGGTTATGGATTCCTGCAGGCACGAAAGCTTCAAATCAAGATTGATAGTCATCCTGTTAGATGACTTTAATGTCCAAGTGGATCATGATGCTGGCACCTGGTCTGGAGTGATCGGAAGGCATTGGCCAGATCAGCTCAATAATAACAGGAGGCTGCTCGACTTTTGTTTAATTACCAACACGCTGTTCCAGCATCAATGCATCCACACATGGATGCATGCCAGGTCTAAGCAAGAACTTTTATTGAACTCTATAGTGATACAGCAGTGGATGCGGGCACATGTCTTTCACACCACGACCTACTGTGGAGCTGATCTGCCCAATGACCATCGGCTTGTCATCTGTAAGATATGCCTGCCATTCTTTCACTTCAGTGGTGGGTGTACATCCAGGACCCCATTCAAACCCACATTAGGGTTGTCTCGGCTAGCTGATGAATGTTGCAAGCGAGAATTTCATCATCGTATGGAGCTGGGGTTAGCATCGTCCCCCATTCCTGATGCTAAGGGGAAATGGGCGAGGATTAGGACTGTGGCTCATGCAGCTGCAATGGCTGCTTTGGGTGCACGGTCAAAATTTCCCCAGAGACCCTGGCTGACAAAGGAGGTGTTCTGGCTGGCTGAGAAAAAGCAACAAGCCCATGTTAGAGAATGAGGAGGCGTACTGCTGCCTTTGCTCGGAGGTTCGTAGAACCGTGCGGTCACACATCACTCTTTAACTGCATCAAAAAAGTTACTTGCAGCACCACACCTATCACCATAATTCGGAGAAAGAAAGGTGATCCGATCTCCGACCCCCAGAAACAGGTTTGCAGATTTGCTGAGCATTTTTTTGAGGTCTTGGGAGAGGGGAATCCTCAGCCTGGAAAACATCATGGGACAAAGTGGGGATGACCCTGCTGAGGCAGCTGTGCCTCAAATATTGGAAGAAGTAGTCACCCCCTGTGAGTGGCTGACTGAAGTGCCATCTGTTGAGGAAGTACAGAAGGCAATCAGAGTCTGAGACCAGGAGAAGCACCAGGCAGAGATGATTTGAGGGAGGTTGGCTTTTGTGCACAGACTGCCCTGTATGACAGTCTGGACCACTGGACTGGTTCCGCAGGATTGGAAGGATGCCCTGGTGGTCCCCCTCTTTAAGAAGGGGACCGTGCAGACTGTAACAAATACAGGGGCATCTCCTTACACAGTGTGCCAGGAAAGGTCCTGGCAATATATAACATGTCCTTGCCAGGCACGCTGAGGAGAAGCTTGCGGAGCCCCAACATGGTTTCAGGAAAGGGCAGTCCTGCACAGATGTCATTTTCTGTCAGTCTGCTACAGCATGGGTGTAGGGAATTTCAACAGGACCTACATTTGCTTTATTGACCTGGTCGAGGCCTATGATACCATCAGTATGCCTGGGCTTTACGTTCTTCGTGTTTTTGGAGTCCCTGACTCTGCTCTCAGTGATTACGGACCTTCATGATGGTGGGCAGGCCCGGG